CCATATGTTAAGTGTAGAAATTCCTTTGTGGGTGAATTTCTAAAGGAAACTGGCTCATATCCATGTTATGCATTGAAGAAACTATGAAACGCCCATCTTCTGGAATCGAAATCAGGTCGAACTACCAGTTCTCAGCTACTTTACAGCTCTGCCATTGATGGGATCTCGTTTTGAATCAAACTTAGGTCAAATTACTAGTACTATTTGGCCACTTTACCACTTGACCGCTGCTGGGCTCTAAAAGTGATGCAATGAGCTAATATAGAAGTGTTTTATATATATAAACTAAATGCTTAATTTATACATATATGTAAGATATAACAAAATACTATAGCTGCTTTAAAATAATTGACGACCTCAAAATTAACATTCTAGATTTGGTACTGTTTTTCTAAATTCATGTGTTCTCCCAAATTCGAGAATCTTATATATTATGTAACAACCTCAAATAAACCAATCACAGATTAGCTCTACTTATACCTCAGTATAAATACTGCTAAGTTAATTGATACATTCTTCCCTTCCCTAATTGCTTTCTGTCAACATCGTGCCACTTTACCTTTGCTTAAATGCCTATGTCATTTCTTTTACAAAGCCAACGTGCATAGAAATTTATCATATTTCATTATGATTGAATCATAGAAATGTATCAGATTTCATTATGATTGAATAAAATATCTACTGAGAAGATTTTTATATGCGTGGTAATAAAGATTGGGAATTCGTCTAATTCATTTTTGTGTCGGCGTCATCTGTTTGTCTTCCCAGCCTGCATTAAATGAAAAAATAATAGCCGCTGAAACTTTATCCAAAATGAACATAAAATAAAATAAAAAGAAGAGATAGTTCTTAAAATCTGTAACATTAGAGCAATGAAAGTTTTTGTAATTATTATGCATATAAGCATGTATACTTATGAGAATTAATGAAACATTTTTTCAAAAACAATTTTTAAATTTTCAGCAATTCTTACAGTTTTACTTTTTTACCCTGTAGATCGCCTTACTTCCATATGTTGAGGAATGGACTGGCTGCATAGGCATTTCTGTAATTTTCCTGATGCATGAAACAAATCAATTAGGCATGAAATAAATCCTCCTGAGGGTATTTTATCTTTCAGGTTTATAGCTTTGCCATTACTCGTTGAAATCAAACAACAGTAAACAAATTCCCCTAATGACAAAAATCTAACATCAGGGAATGAAAGAGATGATAAACAGTTCTTAAGCTAAAGGGCCTTTGCAAGTGTGAAGGTCCTGCCGCTGGCAGTGGGACAGCTGAATACTGGTAGTTTGACCGAGATTCGATCCTAGGCAAAGACATTGACTGCATGATTTATTTTCGTGGTTTTCCACATGTGTAATGAAATTTTGAGTCAGTTACGAAAGCATTCCTTGCCTTAAGCAAATATCTCTCATGTACTCTGTCATATTCTAATAGCCTAACCTTTTTACAAGACAAAACAATCTCTTCTGCAGTTTTCTTTTTTTTTCTTTTTTTTTTTTTTTTTCCCCCGTGTAAAAAATACACATTGATCACTCGATGTTGAAATCCATAAACATTTACATAAAATCTACAGGAATTTGTATTATTTTGACCACTTATTTACATGTTACAGTTTTTTTATATGTGCATGAACTAAAACTTTATGCAGACAGTAAACTTCTCATATTGTATGCGCAGAATGTTTCCATATTAACTTTCTCGGAAACATTTCTTCTTGGATCATTTCATTCAAATTTATATAGCAAGTGCCATTGAAATATTTATATGATAGCATTAAGATTGCTTGCTAATTAAAAATTGTTAATAATATAGCATTTTATCCTATAACAAAAAAGTTTGTTTGAATTAAATAATTATATATTATAGAATATTAAATTTTTAATTAAAATTTCAAGCCTGTGAATTAAAACTATGATAATTAACAACATTTTTGCCAACAAATAATTCAGAATTTCTTTCTGGAAGTTAAAATACAGTTTAATTTAGAACTTAAAAATTTAAAGATAATATTAATAAATTTGACATTTGTGAAATCTGTAACAATTATTATTCAATCTGAATGACAATATTGTGCATTTCTTTTGAATCAATTAGGCATGAATCAAAGACTGATTGATTTTAAAATGAAGCATTATTGTTAATAACCAATAAATAAAATAAAAATGCACATAATTAGACATAACTGACATCAAACTTGGTAAAAAGTTATACTTGATAGATTAAATTTTTTTCTTTATTTCTGACCCAATTTAATAATACTTAGCTCACCCACTCAGTTTACAGGAAACATTCTTAATCATATATTTTTAATGGAACTAACATTGCATAATAGACTTCTGTATTCATAAATGTGATTATAAGAAGCATAAAACGAAAATTAAATATTAATATAGGGTTCTGTAGAAATATTTATTGCTTATATTGTACTATCTAGATTAGTAAGAAAGGCTATCTTGCTGAACAGTTGTAGAAACTCTAATTTCTACTTCATACGAACACCTCAGTCATGGAAGAAGTCATGGATGTAGGTAACCTTTTTACAAAACACAAGTTGAAGTCTGTATTGTTCAACACTGCTCCAAATAACCGGAGGGGAAAGTTAGGAGGATCTAAGCTTTGAATACACTTCAGTTTTACAACTCTGTTGTCTTCAATGCTTAACAGAAGAAAAAGGAATGGAAGAAATTTTTTTGCTGGAGGCAAAACCGTTTTGAGACAACTTGAGTCTTGGAGGCAAGCCCCTTTTGAGGACAAAAGTTAAAACATTTATGAGACATTTGGGTCTGTTTTCACCATCAAACTGAAAACTGGCAATGGGTTAAGAAAGTTATAGCTTTGTAGTCAAGTTGATATAAATTAAAAATTCACAGTCCATTTAAAAACTTTGCTGATCAGTAGCTAATTTCTTAAAATTGGGAAATTATCAATTTAGTAATTAGTAATTTATTTTGGATCCTATTCACAACAGTAGAACAAGTTGGATGCAGGAGGTTTTCATGTTTTATCTAATGTGTAATGTGAATACAAATCAGTTTTCTTCCTGAAATGTCTGCTACAAAGACATTCTTCCTCTTAAGCACACAGCTGTCAGGTGTTTTGTGTTTTCAAAGTAATTTAATCCAGTTTTTAAAAGCCTCAAGCTAAGTATGTTTTCATACCAAAAATATTTAAAAAAATAGTTATTAGTTACAGATAAAAGTAATTAACCATTCTTATAAAATGTATGCATTTTTCTCTAAATAAAAAAAATTCTCAAGATCAAGTGGTGATTTTATTACCTGATAATTTGAATAGAAACATGTCTAATTTATAATCCTTTCACATTTTAGTACATATTCATGATAAAAAATAAAATCTTTTCATGGAATAACATGTGCAAAACAATTTTATCTGGAAATTTATGTGCATCACTTTGATGCTTCCAGTTAGAAGATATGCTTTCGTCATCAACTTGTATTAACTACAGTAGAAATTTGTCTAAACATAAGAGATTTATCTCTCAGATTAATTATTTTGATAAACAGCAAAACAGATTTGAAAAAAGTATTGATAGTATTTGCTTAAGCAACAACATTTTTATGAGAACAGCTGTTTAATGGTAGTTGATAGGCTCCATTATTGCATATGCGTTTGTGTAGAAAATTGTGTGTTGTTCTGTAATGCAAAAGATCTTTAAAAAATTACATGATTGAATATCTCTTGAGTGATTGGTCAGAGACCCAGGATCTTGATTTTAATATTCTATGCGCCCAAACTATATCTATACATTCAAAAATATTAATTATGGTAACCTTAAATACACAGGCAAGCACCTTAAAATTTTTCTAGAAAATTATAGTAACATATATATTTTTAAGAAAATGGATCAGGGTACAAATTAGGATGGTCATTTTGAAATTATAATCAAGAAAATATTGTTCACTCATGTCCTTTTTTTGGGAATTTAATAGCTCAGGATCAAATCTGTGGCTGCTTGGAGAGTTAATATGTGAGTCAAATAAGATAGACCCTTAGAGTGTAACAGAATCAGTCATGTAACATTCAGTAATAATATATTCAATCTGAATTTTATATTGGTCTCGGGGGGGTGCGATTTTTGAATGAGAATTATTTTCCATACCTAAATAAATTACAAAATAAATAAGTAAACAATTTAGTAAGATAATGAACGACTAATTATCTGGAATGTTTTTCATAGAGAGCCTGCATTATAATGTATATTTTGTATTTTATTAAAATGTACTTTTATCAAATTTGGGTACTTAAATATTAACGCAACCACCTTAGCGCAATTTTTTGTTTTTTATTGAAGAAAAAGTAATGATGATTTGCAACTGAAAAAGTTATTAATTACATGCTTACTTATTTTACATTATAAGTAGTATTTATCCAGAAAAATTGGTCAATTAATCGACTTAAGAGTGGATTTTTTTTTCTTGTGATGGAAATATCGAGGTGATTGCTTTAAGGATAGATTTAAAACAATTTTTCCTTTCACAATTTTGTGGTAAGATGCTTTATTTTTGCAGAAATTTTACCACAGTTTCTTCCATTACAGGCAAATCTTACTAGCACATATATTAAAAGTGAATTTAAGAAAAAGAAATAACAGGATTTAATTGCAAAAACTGTTGAAACTTGAGATATTAGAAAAAAGAATAAGTAGGAAAATGGTGACGTTGTTTACTAAAACACAAGAATTATATGTGATTGCTTGAAGAATTGCTATGATACAGTAGCCAAAGTGTGGCACATTTTAAATATTTGACGACTTCTTATAAGGTGGTTGCGCTAACTCACAAGTACCTAAAATTGCTATATTTATTTAAACCAGTCTAGACATTTAAATAATAATATTAATTTAAATAATAATATTAATTTAAATGTCCAGACTAGTTTTGGTCATCCAGTCTTTTTGAAGCATCCTTCATTTATTTATTATACATTAAAAAATTAAAAATCAGCTATTAATATTTCATATATATCCTCTACAGTTCTTCTACACTTCCTGTTCAAACTAGAGATGTTGCTCTTCAGATTAATCCTCCTCTTACTAGTACAAAAAGTACTTTAACTACTGAAAGTAGCACAGTAGATTCTGCAAATCAATGTGTTATTCCAGTGTACACAACTGAAAAGAAAATTGGTACAGAAATTACTTTGATGCCTTTGGAAGTTCATTTGGAGAATAAAAAAAAAGTTGATGCTTCTACTAATTGTGAACCTGAAGAACATGTTTTTTTGAAAGAGTCATCTTCACAGACTGTGGGACCTTTACCTGTGTTTACATATTCTGAAAATTCAACCACTACATCAGTATCAAGCACTCCAGTAAGTGACAGCATGTTTATGGATGATATGCTATCTGAAGGAGAACTTATTTTACCATGGAATTTGAGACTTCTACCTTTCATTGGTATGTGTTAAGATATCCTAAGAATGTTTATAAGAAGAAACATTTAACAAAATCTTAAAAGCAATTGGAGTTAAAATCAAAATAATCTTAAAAGCAATTGGAGTTAAAATCGAAAAATAATCAAAAATAGTTAAAATCAAAAATAGAATCGTTATAAGAAGAAACATTTAACAAAATCTTAAAAGCAATTTGAGTTAAAACCCAGATTAACTGAGATCACAGCCGTTAACTCTGGATTTTCAAAAATATCCAAAAAAAATAATCCCCCCTTTGAAGGCCAGACATGAATTTATTGGGGCCCACCAGCGGCCGAGCGGTAAAGACGCTGAACACTGGTAGTTCGGTCTGAGGTTCGACTCACGCGAAACGGGCTGACTGCATGGGCGTTTTCGTGGTTTTCCTCATGTGTAACATGTATACGAGCCAGTTTCCCATAAAAAGTCCTCCACGAAGGCATCCCTCCCTTTAGGCAGATAGCCCTCGTGTGCTTTGCCATAATTAAATAATCCAAATCCAAATCCATGAATTTGTTGTAATGCAGAATTCTTCAGAATCCTAATGTTTCTATGTAAGGAGAGATTATGTACATATTAATCTTATGTTTGCCTTGGTTTGTCTTAAGCCTTTTTAAACAGTAAATTGTTTTAGGCAGGTAAACAATTATGTTAACAGAATAATTATTATCTGTTTTATGTATTATATGCATTTTCCCTTACATGTATCTACTATTATAAGTTGATTTTTTTTTTTTTTTTATTTAAATAAAAATCTGTGTGTGAAACTGGTAGTTTGATTGTAGCTTTTTTGCGGGGAGGGATGATACAGTCAGTGACAAAAATATCAGATAATTTTCGAACATATATAAAAAAAAAAAGCATTTTTGTTACATATTCTTGAAATTATAAAATGGAAGGAAACAATAATTTTTGCATAATGTCTGTCTATGGTAAGAACAGCTTTCGCTAGTTTGTCTGCAGCTGTCTGTTGCCATAGAAATGAGCTCTTACACATTTTTCGTAGGAGTGTCTTAAAGATTTACTTCTCAGTTTGCCACCTTGGCGCATTTAAAGATTTGGCGATATTCACATTTTGTTTTAGTTTCAAGTAAAATGCTCGTTGGCCCTTTGCGTCGAACCCGACATCCAATTTCCGAAAATGAAAATTCGATGGTGTACATAAAGCTTTTGCAGTCAAAATACGGTCTTTGATTTTGCCATGTAAGGTACAAGTCGCTGAATTTGCCAGGCACTGTTTCAAGTGCAAGATGAAATGACTTTTTACTTCTATATGTGCTAAAATTGAATGCAATACCATTTTCTTATCTTTACTGCCTGTATAAGTGTAAAGAAAGTTCCATATATATTTTCATGTATTCATTGAAAATTTTTTGCTACTGAAATTTAGGGGTCGACTTGTATATAAATTCAAAATTATTTACAGATAATTTAATGACAAAAATGATAGTATAGGTTAAATAATTGAAGAAGTATTATTTTTATTTTATTTAATCATAAAATGCTTTAATCATATCTCTTAATATTAATATCCATCTTGGAATTTTGATGCAATTCTCTGAAGTTTATGTTTAAGGGGAATCTGAGTTAATACCTACATTTCATTATTAACATCATCATTTGTTTCATAGATAATAACATATTTAGTTGCATGCGTAGCATTTTTCAGCAAATGTGATAATTTTTATTTAAGTAGTAGGAATCACATAAATATGTATTCCTCTTTTTGTCTGGGTATTTTTTTGCTATATAAAAGAGACGAATCATATTTTACTCATAAAAGCAAGGGTGCAAATGTGGAGGCAGAACCTTTTGTCTTCTTTAGAATGGTAACCACATTTGAGAGCCAAAGTAAAATTTGCCATTGTGTTGTCAGAGCACCAAATGATGCATATGCCCAATAAGTGGAAGAATTAAGAAAGAAAAACTGTTAGGATAAAAAATGCCCTTCTTTCCATGATGCTGTCGCCTGTTTTTTTTTAGAAGTTAAAGTTGAATTGGCCCTCACCTTCAGTTTTTCAGGTAGGTATTGCTAAATTAAGTACTCAGTTACTCACACTCGTGGTGATATTTACAATTTAATTTATTGGGGGATTTTTTTTAAATGTTACTGTTGCACATTTTTTCAATTTTCACTGAAATCTTACTTTTTGGGGTATACAGTCAAAAGTCGTTATTTCGGACACCCATAATATGGACCTTGAGGCTACAAACTTTTTGCGCATGCGCATAAGACCTTTACGGCTGCAAATACGCGTGTGCGCATGCGCAAAATACGTTTACGCATGCGCGTTTAATGTATAACGGACGGTATAAGCTCAGCTAAAATTATCTAATTCAGTTAATGTTGCAGATTGCGTTGTTCCTTAATCTTCGAATTGGATACGGCTTATTATTTTTTGCAGACTGTTAGAGCAGTTTTATAAAAGTAAGCTTGAACTTTCGATTATGTCAAATAGAATTTCCGATATATATTTACTAATATGTAAAGGATCTACAAAGCGAAAGTATGTTTCAAAGTCCATTAAACAAAAGTGAAATTGCTGCATTGCTGCAAAAAATGACCTAAGCATTCCGAAATATGTTTATCAATTTCACGCTGCTCTGAGGTGGGGGGGGACGCCGCGCCGTGCAATGAATTGGAAGTTGATCTGTCAGCGTTATCCTTATCTTCAGGACAGATGTTTTCATTTTATTTGGCTTATAATTCCTTACTAAATGTAGTATTTCATCTCGATGTATTCCGTCTTTGATATGATTTAAAGAAATTCCTCATCATTATAATTTGCTTCCGATAGTAAAGAAAGTGACACAGAGGTTAGTCAAAACGAAAAAATTTCGATTGACAAGTTAGTCGGTATTCTTGGCACAGCAATTACGGGACTTGAACAGCGGAACTTTGTAACTGAACAAGAAAATTATGTCTGTTTATAGAATTAAAGGAGAAAGAATTATCACATAAACGAAGCAACTTAAACAACTTACATTGAAGAAATGTTTAATAAAGTAAACAATAAATATTAAGCTTTTTCTTTTTGTAAATTTTGATACCCTTTAGATCATAATTGTTCTTTATTTTATAAATTACAGTTTCATATTTTTAATTTTATAATTTCTGCATACCATTTTACCAGATTTAAACTGATGATCTGTAATCTGGAAAAATCGATAATCCGGAATCGCCGAAGTCCCGACGAGTCCGGATTAACAACTTTTGACGATGTCTAGAATTGGGCTAACTGGAGATCAGTTACAGTAATATTATCTGATACCAATGGGAAATAATAGTTCCTGTTATACAGTTTGATCTAAAGTTTAGATATCTTAATCTGTAGCTTTTCAATTTTTTTCTTTCAGATAAAGGCAACAGCCACAATTCAACTAATGCAACTGAAGCTAGTGATATGAGTAGCAAGGTTTGTATGTGTTTATTGTTTTTTATATAAACAAGTAAATATTTTAAAGTTATTGTTCAGTATTCATGAAGATCTTAAGAGAGTTTGAATTTGTATAACTAACTATATCTAAACTGCATTAATTTTTTTCATATCTTTCAAAGGATTACTCTATTAGTGAAGGAGAGATTCCTCCAAAATATGTTTGCCTCCTAAATGCTGAACAGCCATCATCTGCTCAGAGTTCAAAAGGTATTTGAGTATATATGAAATAGCATTTCTATCGAATTTGTGATACTTTAAAGGTGTAATATTTTATTTAAAAACTGTTATTAATTTTAATAATTTATTAACAAAGAATGCAAAGCATTGTACTAATTGTAATCTAGGTTATAATAATTTAATTGGTTTAAAGTAATTAAAAATACAAAATTGAGAAAAGGGTGTTTAAAGTTTTCAGTTTGTTAAACCTGTTAATTTTGCTAACAGAAACATTTCTGGAATGTATTTTAATCATAATATTAATAAAATTTACATGATTTTATGTGTAAATGACATTTGTATTATTTGCTATTACATATCTGAATATCCCAGTCACTACTGGGCGCATACGAACCAGTTTCTCTTACAAAGTTCTCCTTGAAGGCATCCCTCACCTTAGGCGAATGGCCTTCACATGCTTTGCTTTAATCAAATAAACCATATCAAACCAGTCAGTATTTGCATGGTAGAGCTAGTATTCTTTCTCGTATACATTCAGTTAAAATAATGATATTAAATGCATGTGCATTTTTTAGATGCTGTGTTTTGACCTCGGTAGTAATAATTTCTAAGACTGGTTCTAAAATGATATATTAAGTGGTGTGAATTACAAATAGCAAGTATGCAGTTTGAGCAAAGACAGTCCCAGAAGCCGCAGTCAGTCTCATAAGAGATATTATCCCAAAAGCAAGTTGTGTTTTTATCATTTACATTTTGGTAAAAAAGTGTTTCTCTGAGAAATGTGTCCCATCCAGCATTTGTGACTGCTCATCCCAGCAGTAGATGTGGCAGTAAGTTCTGCTGCAGAAGAATCCAATTACCGCAAATTCTGCCTATTTGTAAAAAAGGGGTTGCCAGTTCCTCGTTGATAGTGGTACTAATGTGTCAATTGTACTCCCTTCTAAAAATGATTCTAAATATTGTGACTACAAATTATATGCAGCAAATGGTACTGAGATATCCACATATGGTATAAAAATGCTTTCACTAGATTTAGGTTTCCACCGACCATTTCGGTGGCCATTTGTTGTGGCTAAAGTTTCCAAAGAGATAATTGGAGCTGACTTTTTAAATAACTTTCAATTATTTATTTACATATATAATAAAAAATTGATAGTGTAACCAACCTTTCATCCAATGTAGAAGTTACAGCCATTCAAAATAATAATTTAAGTGCTGTCATTAAGTCAGCAAAATGTTTTGAATTGTTGTGCAAATATCCCAATTTATCAAAACTTTGTTTACCAAAGTCATAAAACATAAGCATTACATAACTACTACAGATATTCAAGAGCTAGACAGCTAGATCATAAAAAGCAGGCTTGGTGTACCTAGTTCCATAATCTCAACTCAAGGAAGGCAATTTGAATCCTAGCTGTTCAGAAGCCTTACAAAAATATATGGTGCTAAAGATTTGCATACAACTCCATACTACCCACAATGCAATGAGAAAGTGGAGCGATTTCTCATAACTTTAAAAACTGTAATAAAGGCTCATAGCAACATTAGATGGACAGAAATCCTGCCCTTCTAGAACTAAGAGCTGCAATACATCCTGATACTAATCACTCTGTAGCTCAGATGGTATTTGGTACACATATAAAGTTACCAGGTGAGTTTTTCAACCAGCTTACCACAAAAATTGAACTTGAATCATTTGTAACAAATTTTTAAAAAAATATGAACCAGCTTAAACCAGCTAAATCACCAACTATTAACAAAGAAAAAATATTTGTACATAAAGACTTAGAATCATGTTGTGTGTTTGCGAGAATTAATCGTATGAAAAGGCACTTGAGCCACCATATGAAGGACTATTTTTTGTGGTGCAAATATGGTAAGTATTTATCAGTTTTAATTAAAGGTAGATAAGTCAGCCTATTAGTTGACAGTTTGAAACCAGCTTATCTGTTAGTTTTGGACAAAATATCAGAAACAATGACTGAGCATAACCAACTGAGATTTTAAATGACAAAGGTTCTGATGCTGTGCCTAATACTAAACCTAGTACATGACATATTAGGGAAATCAAAAAAACCTATTAGATTTAAGATTAATGTTTGTATATATTTCGGAGTACTTAATCATGCCAATGCACTTATATTACAGTCAAAAGTCTTTAATCTGGACTCATCAGGACTTAGGCGATTCCGGATTGCCGAATTTTCCGGATTATAGGTCATCAGTTTAAATCTGGTAAGATGGCATGCAGAAATTATAAAATTAAAAATATGAAACTGTAATTTATGAAATAAAGAACAATTATGATCTAAAGGGTATCAAAATTTACAAAAAAAGAAAGCTTAATATTTATTTGTTTACTTTATTAAACATTTCTTTCGATGTAAGTTGTTTCGTTTTATGTGATAATACTGTAATATCTTGTTATTTAATAAATAAATATAATTATTGTTGAAGTGGCAACGCCATATTTGTATTAAAACGTCAGCAACGTGAGATATTGAAGATAAGATTGATTAACTTTTGGTTTTCTTAAAAAGCATTTATTGAATTTTAATACTTTATTTCAGAATTATAGTTTATCGTGTAAGATTGTGTTTAAAATAACTGACACTAAAAATATTTAGCTTAAATTTATAATTGATATTTGTGTAAAGAAGTATTTTAAAATTATTATTTATGCTTTACTTCTATTTGTATTGAATTTTTATGTTGATAATTGATATGTGTAAGCCATCCTGGCATTTATATAAAAAAAAAAAGAACTGCTAGCTGAGTTTTTGAATTTATTGAAGCATGCGCGTGAAAATAAATAATAATGTCAAACTGACGTAGAGTGAATTGATTATACTGCAGAATTGGCAAAAGTCTAAGTTCTCGCCATCCAGGCGTGTGGTAGATAGTAACGTCATCCCGATGTATTACAGATTGTATATTCTAAAAGTTGAATTGCCAAACTGGCAAAAATTGTTTTTGTTATCGCCAACCAGGAGTGGAGATAGATAGTAAAGACGTCAAATTGACGTGGGTAAAATTCCATTGTATTGCCTAACTGGCAAAGGTGTTTATATAGTTATAGCTAATGAGGCTTGTGAATAGTGAGTTAAAAAGTCAACCCGGCATAGTATTATAGTATTTTGTGCCAACCTGGCAAAGTTCTTTAAATAATTCTCTCCAATTGGTTAGTGTGAATTTCGTATTTGAGAAATTAAGTCTCACCAAAAATTATATATTTTTAATACAAGTACGAGCTTTTAGATTGAATTTCAAATTGAAACCTATTAAAAGTAACTTGTGTCAACATGTCATTCTTAGCTAGGAGTAAAAAACAGGATTTAAAAGTACTAGCAGAAGAGTTAGGTTTAACCGTGAAACCTGAATTTAAGATTGCTCAGTTGCATAAACTGATTACTGAAAGTCCCGGTTATGATGAGGAGTTTACTCAACTACTGGCTGCAATTAGAGAAAGAAAGGGAAGAAAGGAAGAAAAAAGCGAAAGAAGAGAAGAGAAAGAGAAGAAGAAAGAAAGAGAAAGAAAGAACGAAAGAGAAGAGAGAAAGGAAGAAAAAGAGGAAAGAGAAACGTGAAGAAGAGAACGCGAAAGGGAAGAAAGAAAAGGAAAATCGAAAGCGAAGAAAGAAAAGAAAAGAAGAGTGAAAGAGAAGAGCGAATTAGAGCCTTTGAGCTACAGAAACTTCAGTTGGAAGCAATGGCTGCAACAGCACAGCCAGTAGAAACTACGCAGTTAGCTGAGCAGCCTTTAAAAATCAGAATTCACGATGTCATGCCACGTTTCAACCCTAAAGAAGATGAAATAAGTTTATTTCTGTTGTTATTTGAGCATCAAGCTAAAATAATGAATATACCTGCTTAAAATCAAGTAACTCAACTTATTTCATTGCTGCCTCCTGACATTGTTCAGCTTATTGCTAGAGAACCAGAAGGGGATGCGAAAAAGTATGAATATGTAAAAACTTTACTGTTACAACTATTTAAATTGAGTGCGGAAAACTTTCGACAACTATTTAATAAACACCAAAAATCTACTGAAAGTACTTGGTATGATTTCTACTATGAATTAAAGAATTATTTAGAAGGATGGCTTAACGGATTAAACATTAAAACTTTTGAACAGCTAAAAGATCTCATGCTGGTTGATCAAATAAAAAAGCGTACCTCTCCTGATTTCAAAGAACATTTTATGGATCAATGGACAACCATCATTTCACCAACTGAAATACTTAAGAAAATTGAAGATGTGAGAAAAACAATAAAACCGAAATTTTCTGTCAATCAGACTGAGAAAATTAACAAAGGATCATTTAAACCGCGTTATGATAAATTTGTGAAAAAAATAGAGCATCCTTCTCATTTTAAGCATTCTGATAAATGGGACGATTCAAAATACCAGAAAGATCACCGACAAAGAAGTCAATTTCAGAACAAGAACTAAGAAAATTTATATGACAAAAGATATCGACCACATTGTTTCGAGTGTGGATCATACAAACATTTTAAGCCTCAGTGTCCTCGCTTAAAACCAAATGAAAAGGTAAATTGTGTATCTTCGAATGATGATTTGTTAGAGACATATACAGTTAACGGTTTAGTGAATGGGTATGAAATGCCTATTCTTCGAGACACAGGAGCCACTGTTGATGTTATTTCTCAGAAATACATAGATAACGCAAAAATGACTGGAGAACATGTCTGGGTACAATATCTTTTAAATGACCATTTAGTGTGTCTACCGTTAGCGGAAGTTGAAATTAATTGCAAATTTGGTCATATAAAGACAAAGGCAGCTGTTGTTACAAATGATCCAGGCAGATATGTATTGGGTAACAAAACTGCCCAATTGTTCAAAAATAAATCATTCTTAAATTTAGAAAAAATAAATGCAGTTTCGACACGATCTCAAGTAAAAAGATCTCGTGAAGAAGATCGAAATAGAGAAACCGAAATGGAGAAACTAGAAGAACTGACGTTTATTGACACTGACCAAGATATTTTACCGCAAGCTGATGAGG